GCGTGGGGCTCAGTAACGGGGGCTCTGCAGGGACCGTGGGGGACACTGTGTGCCAGGGCGTGCGGGGTGAGAGTCTGGTGTATGTGCGTTTGTGTGTACAGAAGCCTGGTGTATGTGAGTCTGTCATGTGTGAGATAGTGTATATCTGTTAGGTTTGTGTATGTGAGAGAGTCTGGGGGGTGTGTCTGGTGTGTGAGTCTGGGTTGCATCTCAGGTGTGTATGTATGAGTATGATGCATGAGACTGGTATGTGTGTGTGTGTGTTTGTGTGTGTGTTTGGTGCATGTGTCTGGGGTATATGCGTGTGAGTCCGGTGTGTGTATGGTGCATGAGACCAGTGTGTGTGCATGTGTCCTGGGGTGTGTGCCTGGGGTGTGAGTCTGGGGTATATGTCTGGTGTGTGTGTATGGTGTGTGTGTGTTCGTGGTGTGAGTCTGGGGTGTGAGTCTGGGATATATGTCTGGTGTGCGTGTGTCTGGTGTGTGTGTGTGTGTGTGTCTGTGTGCGCGCGTGCATGCAGAACATTCAAATGCCTGGGATTTGTTCCCTGCAGACACTGCTTGCAGTGAAACTGGGTCACATCTGCCTCGCCGCCTCGGCTGTCACCCCCGTGCACCCTCCTCTGTTCGAGCCTGTCCCAGGCAGACCTGTGACCCCCGTGTGGAAATGCAGGTCTCTGAGGAGCGTCGCTAGCACCCCCTGGGTGAGAGGCCGGCCTGAGGGCAGTGCTGTGCCGCTGCTTGGAGGCTCCTGGGACCTAGTACACCCCAAGGTGGACTGGAGGGATGAAGTACCGGCGTCCAGGAAAGGGACATGTGTCCCAGGCCACTGAGGGTTGAAGCGGCAGCAACCTCTGTCATCATAGCCCTCTTTAGATGCTCTCCCTTTATTCCCATCCACTCGTCCTTCACCCCTTTCTCTCCTTACCTAAACCTGGGCATGACATTTTTTTTTTCTTGATACACCATACGTGGGCTGGAGCGACAGCACAGTGGCAGGGCATTTGCCTTGCATGCGGCCAACCTGGCTGACCCGGGTTCGATTCCTCCACCCCTCCCAGGGAGCCCGGCAAGCTATTGAGAGTATCTCGCCTATACAGCAAAGCCTGGCAAGCTACCCGTGATGTATTCGATATGCCGAACATAGTAACAAGTCTCACAATGGAGACATTACTGGGCCCGCTTGAGCAAATTGATGAACAATGGGAGGACAGTGCAGTGCTCCAGTGATACCACACGTGCAGAGAAAGTTTAGAAACCATCAATGGGCCGAAGAGGAAGTGCAAAGGCTAACGTGCTGGCCAGCATGTGCCTGTGCCTTCTCCCCACTGCACAGGGTGGGCACCGCAGGGCAGGAGCAGAGCCAGGTGTGACACTCTGAGCACAGAAAGGAAGGGAGGAAGGGAGAGAGGGAGGAAGGAAAGAAGGGAGGGAGGAAGGAAGGAAGGAAGGAAGGAAGGAAGGAAGGAAGGAAGGAAGGAAGGAAGGAAGGGAGAGGCATGGGAGAGGGAGGGAGCGCGGGGTGAATGGGTGCCCGGGCAGTCTCCAACAGTCTAATTCTGTTGTTCTGACAGTGAGCTCTCTCTCCTCCACTGATGAGGACCCAGGACCCTTCCATTCTGTCACCGGCTTCTCCCCTCCTTAGGGACACAGCGGCTTTAGCATCCGCCCAGCAGGTGGGTGGGATCTGACGTCACATCTGCCGACATTCCATTGCCGAGAGTAGAGCACGTGGCCTCGCTGCACGCAAGGCATGCTGGGAGATGTAGTCCGGCCACTACCCAGGTTACGGCAGCCCCTCCTCTCTGGGCATCTCTGCCCGGTGGGTCTACTGGGAAGGGCGAGACCCGAGAGAACAGTCTCTTTGTTCCTGCCCCTGCCTTTCCTGGCGAGCATAGTCCTCTGGCTGTCTGCTTTGCTTTCCTGAGTGACTTCTCACACATTTGTTCATTTGTTCCATTCATTTATAAATATATTCACTGAGTCAAGCATTCACGAGTTGGGGGTGGGGGCGACACAGCTTTGGGGGATTCAGGCTCTAGGATCCCCAAAGCAAGCGTTCTGGGTAGCCAAGCAGTTGGTAACTGGGACTGGAGTCTCCAAGGCTTCCTGAGAGATGGTCAGGAGTCTGGATCCTGCGTTCTGAGCCACCCCTGGTGAGTCTCAGCCCAACAGGACAGGCCTGATTGTATACCAGGCTACACTCAGCAATGCCCAGGGGCCCGGTGCATGCAGGGTGTGCTCCAGCCCTGGGGCTCTCTCCCGACCTGGCCTCTTTGAGCCCAGAAAGTCTCATGTCAGTGGTGAGGACTGGGCCCCGGGGGCAGTGGGAGGCCTTGGTAGGGGGCTCCCTGGGAAAGCTCAAAGCAGGCAGCCCTCCATGCCCACCTCTCCTCTCCTACTTCTGCAACCCAGGGCATGGGCCAAAAAGGACCCTAACTAGGGGGCTGCTGGCCCAGAGCCAATCACCAGGTGAAGGATTTACTAGTATGGGAGAGGCAGGGAGGAGTGGGGCAGAGCACAGAGGCGGGCTGTGCCAGCTGCAGGAGCAGGAGAGGGGCAGGGAGGGTGGGGAGAGGTAAGATGGGAAGAGTTGGGAAGTGGTAAGGGAGTGCAGAGGAAAAAGGTGGGGAGGGATGGGTAGTGCAAAGGAAGGGGAAGCCCAGGGACGGGAGAGGTGGGCAGAAGAACACAGTGGAGGGGCAGAGAGGGGGGAGGAAGGGACAGGGAGGACAGGGAGGGAAAGGATGGACAAGGAGGGAAGAGAAGGGGAGGGAGGGTAGGAGTGGGGAGCAAGTGGAAAGACTGGGAGAGGAGGAGAGTTCAGGGGAGGGGAGGTACTGGAAGTCCAGGGAAGGGGGAGGGAGGGGCGGGGAGCACAGAGGCCACCACTGGGCTCCTCATTTTTTATTAAAGATCCCTTCAAGGTCAGTCCTGCCAGCCTGCCACAGGGGAGTCCTCCATTTCCCAGGCTCTGCAGGGAGGGGGGCGGCGGGGGGGGGGGAGTGGGAGTGGCTTCTGGCACCAGGAAGGCCTGTGGGTCCTCTCTCCCAGCCCCTGGAGCTCTGCTCCCCGGCTCTGTCCTGGGAGGCGCCAGCAGGCATAGGAGACAGTCCCTCCCCTCACACGCCAGCCCCCTGGTGCTCAGCCAGCCCAAGGCTTCAGCAGATGAAATATTCATGCAGCCAGAAGGAAGGAGCCTCGTGCTAGAGCCGCCCCTGGGGGTGCGGGGCTGCAGCTGTGGCCCACCCCTCTCTCCCACCCAACCTTTGTTCTGCTGGCCAGGGTGGGCTTTCAGTGCCAGGATCCCAACACTCACACACACACACACACACACGCGCACACACACACACACGCACACACACACACACGCACGCACGCACGCACACGCAGACGCACACACACTCATACACACTCACTGTAAAGACACACGTAGGTGAAGAAACGTGTGTGTGTGTGTGTGTGCGTGTGTGTGTGTAAGGCGAAGAGGGACATACAGGCAGACACAGACTCCAGACAGGGACACAGGAACAGACGCACAGTCACACACAGATGGGAGCATCAGCGCTGACATTCACAGCCACACTGGCTCCAGGCAAGGCGTTTCCCAACAGGGAGTCGCCTTCTGATGTTTTTAAATTAAAAAAAAAATGGGGGGTCTAGAGTAATAGTAGGGCTCTTGCCTTGCATGCGGCTGACCTGGATTTGATCCCCAGAACCCTATATGGTCACCCGCGTCTGCCTGGAGTTATCACTGAGTGCAGAGCCAGGACTAAACCCAGCGCACTGCTGGGTGTGGCCCCAAAACTAACAATAATAAGAGTAAGAAGAATTTTGTTTGAGGCCACGCCCAGTGGTGCTGAGGGATCATGGGGATTGGGGTTTTCTAGGTGCAGGGGTTCAAATCTGAGTCAGCTGCAGGCAAAGCATGCCCCTTCCCTGCTGTACCATCGCTTACAATCTCCTTGCTAAAATACACCCTGGCCTGGAGAGATAGTACAGAGGATAGGGCATTTGACTTGCACACAGCCAACTGGGGTTCAATCCCCAGCACCCCACATATACCCCGAACTTCGCTGGGAGTGATCTCTGAGTGCAGAGCCAGGAGTCAGCCCTGAGCATAGATGGGTTTGCTTCCCCAGAACCCCCCAAAAAGCCTAACTTGTAGATGGAGAGAAAGTACATTCATTTGCCTTGCATATTGCTGGCTATATTGCTGGTAACCCAGGTTTGAATCACTGTCACCATATTTTGGATTCCTGAGCACCCTCAGGGGTCATTCCTGAATACAGAATCAGGAATAGCCCTCCAGCACTACTCAATGTGGCCCCAAAACTAAACAGAAAGAGGTCATTTGAACTCAGGGTTCTACACACTGAACACTGCCAGAGGTAATTCCTGAGCTCAGATCCAGGAATAGCCGCTGAGTTCCTCTGGGTATGACCCCAAAACGAACCCCCAAACCCACCTTCATTGAGGTTTTCAGGGACTGGAGAGATAGTACAGAGGGCTAAGGTGCTTGCCTTCCACGCAGCAGAGCGAAGATGCCCAAACCCCACATGATCTCTGGAGCAGCGCCAGGAACGAACCCTGAGTGCAGAGGCAGGAGTAAACCCAGAGCACGTGGGGTGCAGCTCAAAACCCTAAAGAAAGAAAAATTTGAAATGAATTTGAGCTCAGAATTTCAAACACTCGGTCCCAGAGGGTCCCCCGAACCGCATTCTCAAGCCCTGTCCGTGTTAGACATTCTCCACCAAGCCCTCGCGTGAAAGCAGGGCCTCGGGGACCCTCTTTTCCGCGAGCCGTGTGGGGTGTCCCCTGGTGAGGACTCGGGGATTCCAAGTCAAGAACCTCCCCGCGGCTCTCGGCCCGCTTGACCTCGCGGTCCCCAGGCCGGCGGCAGGTGGCCCTCCCGGCCGGCGGGGGCGCTGTGGGCTCCGGCCGCTCTGGCCGGCGGGCGGGCCGAGGGCCGCCTCGATGGTGGAGCGCTGTCCAGCGTTTCAGCAAGCGGCGGCGGCGGCGGCGGCGCCCGCGGGGAGAGGGACGCGCGGGCCCGCGGGGGCCGCCGAGCTGCGGGGCCGAGGCGAGCGCAGGAGCCCACCCCGGAGGCGGCCCGGAGCGGCGGGGCCCCGGGGCCTGGCTCGGGCGCCCGGCGGAGCGCGGCGGTCAGCGCGGAGGTGAGAGCGCGGCCGGGGCGGGGGCATCTCCCCGGGGGACGGGGCCGGCTTGGCCCCTCGGGCCTCCGCCGCGGGGCGGGCGCCCGGGGTCCCCGGCACCCGGACCAGAAGCTCGGGCAGGGGGATGGCGCAAGTAGTCTGTGACGGGTTCGAGACCCCCGGGGAGGAAGAGAGGGAGCGGAGAAAGGTTTTCCGTTTTGCTGAGAGCGATGGGGAAAGTGAGAAGCCAGTGGGGAGGATGTCCTGGACGTGGAATGATCTTGGCCCAGCCCCTGAGCACGCAGGGAGGCCCCCACCACAGGCCGAGAGGAGAAGCCCCTGCCCCCCCCCCCACCCCGGGGCCCCTGGAGGTAAGGAGAGAGCCCCTCCCGCATGCCAGACTGGTGGGTTCAGATTGGGGTGGCAGCTCAGGGGACAGCCTGGCCCCTTTCCCAGCTGCTCAAACGCCCTGGGCAAGCCCGAGCTGCCGCTGAGAACTGGGTCTCACCCAGGACGGCATTTCCTCTCCAACTGGGAAGAGGATGGAGGACGCGGGAGAGGAAATAACCAGGAGGGCTGTAAGGCTGGATCTAGGGTAGGGTGGGGTGGGGTGGCGGCGGGGGCTCTCCATGGCTTCTGGGGATGCTTACGGGGAGTTTATGGAGCTCGGCGTGGGGGAAGCCCACAGCACATTCTCGGCAGAGAGGAGAGGCAGGAGATGGTGCAGGCTGCGCTGTGAACCCTGCCTGGACCCCAGGGGAACTACCCGGTTCCTGCATCCTAGAGAAGCAGGTGGGGAGGCACAAGACAAGGTCCGCCCTGGCGCTTGCATGCCTGTGCTTCTCGGCAGTGACTTCTCACTCCCTGCAAGACTTCATCCAACACCCCCTCACCCCCCCTCCCGCCCTGCTTCCGGCATTCAGGGCCCTGGCTGGCCTTTTGTTCTCCATCAAGAGAAAAGGCAGGTGCACGGATGGAGAGGAGCAGAATGGGGGCTGGAGAGTTTCTCTGTCCAGGGCTGGAGACCGGGGGCGGGGCCCAGGGGCCTCTCTTATGGGCCAGATCTAGTTTGTGCCTGATCCTTCCCCAGAGGAAAACAGAGCTGACACGGCGAGGAAATTGCTCCCACACACCACCTTAACCTTCTTCCCCGTCCCACACTCCCATGAGGGCTGGAGGAGGCGTTCTTGAAGGGTGAATCTAGAGTTGATGGGGTTCTCAGAGGTAGCAAGAGGGAAGGGGTGGCCTCCTTCCTCCTGAGACATGTGTCCGGATCTAAACCAGGTGATTTTGGCCAGGCCATTCAACCTTGGATTCGTCTGCAAAACGCGTAAAGTAATAATATTCTATTCCAGTTTGCAGCTATAACCCTCACAGCAGACAGGAAATGACTTATAAACTCCAAACCACTAGGCAAGAGCAAGTCAATCCACTGCTGATGGGTGGCTGGAAGAGAGGGAGGGAAGTTGGGGCCCGAGTGATAGGACAGCGAGGAGGGCTCTTGCCTTGTACACGGCTAACCCGGGTTCATCCCCAGCATCCCATAGGGTCCCTTGAGCACCATCAGGAGCAATTCCTGAGTCCAGAGCCAGAAGTAAGCCCTGAACATTGTCAGGTGTGGCCCAAAAACCAAAGGGAAAAAAGAGAGAGAGGCGGAGAAGTTTCCAGGTCTGTTGAGGCACTTGGTTCCCCTCCCAGAGGAGGTGAACAGTGGCCAAGGGCCTCGTCCCAGCTCTGTGCTAGGCACACGGCTACAGTTGATCCTGCTCCGCTCCCCCCAACTTCACCACGTGCCCAGCCATCCTTGTCCTGATTTCCTGGCAGAGAAAGGTGACTCAGAGACTTTCCCAAGGTCATGCTGGCGCCCAGTCTGTCTGTCCCCGCCCCCTCCCCCATCTTGCTCCTCGATAGCCAGCAGGGGCAGGCTCCAGGCCCTGGGTCCAGGCAGAGGGCTTGGGGCTCACAGGGAAGGGGTGCCTGCAGTGAAGAGCTGGTTCCCCAAGGTCACCGGGATAGTCAGAGGTGCAATGTGCTCCCAACAGTCGCTGCAGCATCCCCTGCCACGTCCCTCCTGGTGGGGATTCTGGCTCTGACACCTCCATCTGCTCCCCGCTGCACCCACTTCTCACCTCTCCCGCCTGCCAGCCTCTTGCTGACCTCGGCAAGCCTGGCCGCCTGCTTTGCTGGGAGTGGGTGGCCCTTGTCGTCGTCTCTCTCACCCAGATGGGGCTGTGGTTGCCAGCGGCTGGGGAATCCCAGCTGAATTCTATCCTCCTCTGCACCCCCGGGGTGGCCTCATGATATCCTCCCTCCCTGCAGCCAGGAAGAGGCCCCACAGGAGCCGGAGAGAGTCCCCTCTCTCTGCCTTAATTCCCACGCACACCCTGAGCCCCTGCCTGGTCACAACCCTGGACATTTGCCCTTTGTCCCCTGACTCGTGGTGGAGGCCCTGCTGGCCATTTCTAGCATAGCCAGGGCCTGGAGGGGTGCGATTTCCCAAGGTCACAAGCGAGGTCCTGGTCTGCTGCTGCCCTGCCCCTATTCATGTGACTCCCACAGAGCCTCTCTGTCACCCATTCTCCAGGTGGGACGGTCATTCAGGACATCAGGGGCCAGCAGGGGGTGGGGGCACGGGGAGTCTGAGGGTCTGAGAATGGCCTTTGTAGAACATCTCCAACCTCAGCTCCTTGGGTGACCTTGAAAGAATCCTTGGTCTCTGCCTCAGGGCCCCCAATCGTAAAATGACGACGGTGACTCCATACCCCTCAAAGGCCCTGCTGAGCCTCGATTTTCAGCTCTCTCTGCTCCATAATTTGCATCGAGAAGTCGGGGTGGCAGAAACACAAGTTTTGAGGTGCAATGTTTGAGCTGGAGATGAGTTTTAAAATTTGTCCCTTCCACCTACGAACTCAGGGTCTTCTTCACTAGCAGGGTGACTACGGCGCCTCGAGGCCTGCTCACTCCTCGCCTCATGGGCTGAGCCAGGACAGACATCCAGGCCTGGGCCTGAGGATGCTGGCGGGGACATGAAAGGTGGCCTCCCTGCAGCTCCTGGGGACCTGGGACGCACGTGTGCACGCCAGGAAGTCGCGGGGGTGCAGTGGAGGGGAGGGTGCACGGTGGAGCTTATTCATGAAGCCACCATGGGGCGCGGGAGGGATTTTGCAGCTGATGTTCTGGAGGGAGGATGTGGGGTGTAGCTGAGGGGCGGGGACTTGTCTGGGAAGGGGAGAGAGGGCAGCTAGGAGAGAAACGAAGGGTCGGGTCAGAGGGTCAGTGTCATGGCTCCCCGGGGATCGTGGACTCAGGAGAAAGGGCAGAGAACGGGTGAGAGGGAGGAGCCAAGGGAAGGAGCTCATGGCTGACCGTCCCTGGCCTCAGTGGGACTTAATATCTACTGCCCCTCCCACTTCTGCCCCTTCCTCACTTCCGGGTCTGGAGATCCATCCTCAGAGGCCAAGCCTGGCTGGTCCGTGTCACCCAAGATGGAGTGTTTTGTGGCCAGGCAAGTGAACCACTGTAAACTGCTCACGGACCTGGGAGAAAGGTCACTCTGGCCATGGGGTGCTGACTTCACCATGGTCCCCTGTGCCCCCAGCTCTCCTCCCCTCTTATCACCAACCCTCATCCCCAGCCCAAGTTTGCTGTCAGCTGTGTGGCCTCCCCGGCACCCAGCCTGGCCAGTCTGGCCTCAGCCTCCTGCCACCCCCGCCCTGGCCGCCTGCCTGCTGCGGAGGACGCGGTAGCAGCTGGGGCAGGCGCTCAGTGTCCTGCTGGGTCCCGAAGACCGGAAGGAGGCCTGGACCCTGGGGTGGGGAGGGGGCAGGGCTGCTGAATTCAAGCTTTGAATATAACTGGGACCCCTCCCATGATTGCCTCAGGGACCCGCAGGATAGAAACAGGCAAGTCTGTGCCATGATGCCCTCTCCACCTCTGCCGGCCACCGAAGAAACACGCACATAAGAGCAGAAACAGGTTGGGAAGAGGTTGGGGTCTTCCGGGAGCCTCAGGTGTGACCCCAACTCTGTGCAGTCCCCTGAGCACTGCCGGGGGCACCTCTGCCCCGCCACTGAGCTGGTGTGGACCCCAAACAAAAACCAAACCAAAAAATTGCCTGTAATTCACTACCCAGGTATAGCCATGGTATGTATGTGTATGTGAGTGTGTCTGTGTGAGTTTGTATGTGCATGTGTATCTATGTGTGTCTGTGAGTGTCTGTGTGAGTTTGTGTCTGTGTGTGATTTTGTGTCTGTGTGATGTGTGAATGTGTTCTGTGTGTGTGTTTGTGTGTGATTGTGTGCATGAGTTTGTGTGTGTATGTGAGCCTTGTGTCCATGTGTGAGTGTGTCTATGTGTGAATGTGTAAGTTTGTGTCTGTGAGTGTGTGTGACTGTGTGCATGAGTTTGCGTCTGTGTGTGAGTGTGTGTCTGTGTGTGAATGTGTGTCCCGTGTTAAGTGTATATGTGTTTGCGTCTGTCTGTGTGTGTGAGTTTGTGTATATGTGAGTGTGTGTCTATGTGTGAGTGTGTGTTTTTGTATGTGTGTGAGTGAGTGTGAGTTTGTCTGCCTGTGTGTGTCTGCGTGCTTGTGTCTGTGTTTGAGTTGTGTTTGTGTGTGTCTGTGTGTGAGTTTGTGTATGTTTCTTTCTAGGAATTCATTCCCAGAATGAAGGAACTCGGGGGGGGGGGGCACTCCTGAGAAAGGATTGGGCATGGGGAAACCTCTTTCCAGGGGGTCATGCAGCTGTGGGGAGAGCGGGGAACTTTGGGGGTCCCTTGGAAAGGAGGGGACAGCTTTGGGGTCTGTGGCCAGATCAGCAGGGACAATGGGATTCTTTGCCCTTACCCCCTGCGACAGGAACATTCGAGGTGCTGCCTTCTGGGCAGGGGAGCCGCAAGCTAATGGCATCTGCTAGGCTTGGGCCTCCTTGGGCCAGGCCCGTCTCCTCCCCCAAACCCCCCTCCCCCTCAACCGGGCACAGTTTTCCCGCATGCTGGTGCTGTGAAAAGTAGGCCAGGCG